TTTTTTTTTTGGACTGCTTTTGATATTTCCCCTTTCATTATTGTAGCTTAGCCTGCAATATTCAACAAAGGAATTTAAAATTAGAAATGATATATTGGGGGCTGTAGATTATCTCTAGGGCTTTAATTAACCATTATTAGATTTACAATAGTCTTTGGAAGAGTGACTAAATAAGTATTCTGATGATAAATAATTAAACCAACAAATAAATGAACTCATGTCACAGACATGAAAGCCTTTCCCCAGTGGAGTGTAAAGATCACAAGGTTAAATTTAACAGGCATAAAACAAGTAACCTTTTAGTTATACAGTCTGATATTCTGTCCCCATGTGATGGGAACGTGCCATGAGAGCATCTGTAGTTATTACTAAACCCAGCATAGGGGATAGGGACACTGACTATTGAATGAATTCTCCCTCACCCATTTTAAAGCACCAAAATCTCCATCTTTAAAGTATCCTCGTCCATGCCTCTTGAATACTAATAAAACAGTTCCTTCAGTGAATGAGCAGCTCATGGAACACATACTTAGTTAACTTACTTATAAACCCAAGTTACTTATTCTCTTTCCCTGGAGAAGACTCGATTTTTCCATCAAAGATTTTCCAAGTTATGAAGCAAAATCGAAAGCTGCTTTCTGTTAGGTTTGAATGTGCTGTGTGCCCCACAGGCTCGTGTTTTTGAACACTTAGTCCCCAGCTGGTGGCGTTGTTTCTAGAGGTAGAAGCTTTTGCACTTGTAGGGTGTATGTGTGTGTGAGGTGGGTGGGTGTTACAGCCCAACTTCAGCTCCTGCCGGAGGTCTGTGCTTCCTGGTCCACTGCGGAGAGGCGAGAAGGCGCTAGCATTCCCTACCATGGACAGAGCCGTTCCCGCCACATCTTCTGTGCCATGAAACTGAGCCAAAATGCATCCTTCCTCCTTAAGTTGCAGATATTTGGTTGCAGTGATGGGAAAGGGACTCATATACTTTCCACTTCTGAAAACGAATCACTGTGAATTCTGGACAGTCTAATGTAATTGTTTGAATGTTTTTGTTGTTTTTATAGTTTAATATAACTTAGACTTTAATGTATATACATTTAAAAACTTTATGATTATTGTGTATTTAATGTGTATGTGTGTGAATGTGCATATGCATGCCACAATGTGTGTGTGTGTGTGTGTGTGTGTGTGTGTGTGTAGGTCAGAGGTCAACTGCGTAGAGTTGATTCTCTCCTTCACCTTTAAGTGTGTTCTGGGGATTGAACAGGTCACCAGGCTTGTTCAGTAAGCACCTTTACCCACTGAGCCTTCTCACCTGCCTATAATGTGCATTCTTTTAAAACAAAAATTGTGAGTGCTTTCACTCTTTAATTCTAATTTTATTTATTTTCATTTTGACCTTTTCGAAAGAGGGACTTCCTATACAGCCCATGCTGGCCTCAGATGTCTTTTCATCTTAGCTTTCCCAGTGTTGATATTACAGACACACCACAATTATATTTTTGTAAACAGATACATGATTGTACATACTTACTGTGTACAGTGGGATAATTCAATGGATATACAATACACACTGCATGCAACATGTAATGATCAAATCAGGGAGATTAGCATTTCTATCTCCCTAAGAGGATTATTTCTGTGTTGAGACCCTTCAAGCTCCTCTCCGAGTTCTTAAATATGTGATAACATGAGGTAAACTGAAGGTGCACATATTTAATACCAAAATCAGTGTCGTTACTTTAGCAGGTCCCATAGTGGCATTTACAGGGAAAGGTATTCTAGGGCAGGAAATAATGATTGGCAGCCTTTTGAAGTGGCAGCCAAGAATACCTGGCAAGGCTGCTTTATCCCATATAGTGATGTCTGAGAAAGCATGTTTTGCAATCTATAATTGTACATTTGAACCAAGGAAAATTTGAAGAAATAAAAGACTAAATTAGAGTTTGAAATATGAATTGTTTCCAGAGGTGGTGAATCAATCTCTCTCTCTCTCTTTCCCATCTCCCATCTTCCAAGTAGAGTCTAATGACTCCAAATATGGCTTTAAAAGGCAATAGTCTACCTATTTTTTGTTTTATATTTCCCACTACTTATCCTTTGTATGGTCTGGACTCCATTGCCTGGAATCTTTTATTTTTTTTTAAGATTTATTTTTATTTTTTATTTTTACTTATGTGTACATATCTGTCTATATGAGTTATGAGTACATGCCACATGTGTGTGGGTATCCTCAGAGGCCAGGAGACAGTATGGGATCCCCTGGAGCTGAAGTTATGGGCAGTTGTGAACTGCCTAAAAAGGATGCTGGGAACTGAACTCAGGTCCTCCAGAAGAGTAGCAAGTACTCTTAACTTTGGAGTCGTTTCTGAAGCTTTGGAATTTCTTTTAATGCAAGATTAAACTCTGATCCCCAAAGTGACAGGAAGAAATATTATGCTTGTTATATTGTTCACAAAAATGACTCCAAGGCTGGATCTTCAGCTTAGTAATGGAGTGTGTACCCATCATACACAAGACTCTGGTTTCTATCTGTAGAATTGCAAAAAGAAAGGAAAGAAATATTTCATTTCTTGAATAAACCCTAAAAAGAGACCCATTTTTAAAACAGGGTAAAGATTACTTGGGGTGGCCTTTCTATTTATTAAAAATAATTCAAGTTCTGGTGACTTTAGTATTTGACAACCACTCTGACACACTCCTAGTGAAGGCACGACACTCAGGGGCCAAGTCTTCATAAAGACCAGTGCATTTTTCTGAATGGTTCTTCTTCACTGCTCAAACTGTTGTGTGAAATTG